TTTTATTGATTTTTTACAGAGAGGAAGGGAGAGGGATAGAGAGTTAGAAACATCGATGAGAGAGAAACATCGATCAGCTGCCTCCTGCACACTCCCCACTGGGGATGTGCCCGCAACCAAGGTACATGCCCTTGACCGGAATCGAACCTGGGACCCCTGAGTCTGCAGGCCGACACTCTATCCACTGAGCCAACCCGGCCAGGGCTGAAGTTGCTTTTAAACAGGATGTCTGTCTGGGGCTCATTCTCTCTGTCCTGTACCTTGTAGGAAGGAGGAGGAGGAGCGCAGGCGGCGGGAAGAGGAGGAGAGAGAACGTCTGCAGAAGGAGGAAGAGAAACGTCGGAAAGAAGAAGAAGAAAGGCTCAGGCGGGAGGAGGAAGAGAGGAGGCGGCTGGAAGAAGAGAGGCTTCGGTTGGAGCAGCAGAAGTAAGCTGGCTGTGCGCTTCAGCTTCAGGGAGAGAAACGGACGGCCTTGCCACTGTGGCCTGACTGTGTGCCATGATGTGCTGAGGGTCATTCTGATCCGGGCGGCTGGGGGTGGACCCGCGTGAGCTACTTAGCACTTATGCCAATGATGTGTTGCCAAAGCGGGCCTCGTCTTAAGCAGCATTTGGCTGCAAAAGGAGTGAAGGGTATTGAAAGGGTTTGGGCTTCACTCCAGAACCAGGGACTGAGCAGCTGAGGTTGCTCGCTTGCTCCCTGTCCCTGAGTCCGCATGGTCTCTTGTCTTTGATGTCTCTTTTCCAACCTTCCTGTTCTCTGCAAACCGTCGCTGTCTGCTTTGGCACCCACAGGCTGGTCCAGCCTGGATTTAGATGGTTTTGTTTTCATGCATCTGATAGAGAGAGACTGGCTGGCATCTGAGAGACCCAGTTTCACATTCCCGGGACAGGGAGTTTGGTTGTTTTAGCCTCTGCCGGGTGTCCCCAGGACAGGGCGTGGGAGCTGAGACCATTCCTTAATCAGGGCTGTGAGAGCAGCTGTCTCAGAAGCTGCTGTTCTGGAGGAGCTCTGGGTCCAGGAGGAAGGACTGGCCCCCACAGGACACTGGGAAGAAGGCCCAGGGTCCTCGAGATGGCAGGGCGTATGGATTAAACCAGAGGACATGGGAGCCCAGGGATTTCTCCGCATTATTGCTGAGTCATTCCTCAGAAAAGCTGCAGATCAGCCCAGGCCTCCTTCTGCTTTGAAGAGAGACGATGGCTACTGCTCCTGGTGGGGCCATAGACACCAGTCGGTCCTCTCACAGCTTCGTGGTTAGAGCAGAGAGGTGGAGCCAGTCCGCCTTGTCTTTGGCACTGGCTCTGGCATCTGCTAGCAGGGTAATCTCCAGCCTCCATTACCCTGACGCCTCCATTTCCTCTTGTGAAACCCTACCCCCAAAGACAGTGGTGAGACCTGGGGGGGTCAGTCCAGGGAAGGGCCTTGAACACTGCCTGGTACATAGTAAGGGCACATAACCGTTCACAGATGTGCTGGTGGTGATAATGATGATGTGTTTATTATTATTCTCTCTCTCCATCCCAAATTTTCCTTGGGAACCTAAGTAAAAAATTAGAGATCATGCTCATTTTCTTAAATTGCTTCTGGGCCTGGGACACATGCTGATTGGTATACATTACTAGCTGAGTCATTTTTAAGAGGTGTCAATTATAAAAATAAGTAACAAGGGCATTTTATTTTGTCATGACCGCTCTCCTGTAGCCAGACTGGTGTCTATTCTTTAATGTTTTTAGGCAGCAGATAATGGCAGCTTTAAACTCGCAGACCGCCGTGCAGTTCCAGCAGTACGCAGCCCAGCAGTACCCGGGCAACTATGAGCAGCAGCAGATCCTCATCCGCCAGCTGCAGGAGCAGCACTACCAGCAGTACATGCAGCAGCTGTATCAAGTCCAGCTCGCCCAGCAGCAGGTATGGGAGGCGGCTCAGCCTGCAGCCGCGGGGGGTGTCTCGTTTCATTGGAACCCAAGGTCTTTTTTAACAGTCGCTGATGAATTTTGCATTAGCCTCAGGTATAGAGTCACTTTTAGGTGACCTTTATTAAGGGAGACTTTAATGTTGCATTGGCAATTATGAAAGAAAATGTAATCCTCGAGCAACAGGCAGTGTGGCCGCTGGTATATTGTCCGAGGTGTATCTGGGAGTTGTGTGGGCTGAGTGTCATTCCAGTGAGTCTACGTAGATTCCAGTAGTGGTCCTGGAGCCAGGAGGACTTGGTAACTAGCATTAGTTTAAGGATGTCCTTCGGGCAGTGTGCTGTCATAGGCCTGGACAGCTTCCATGGGAGGACCCCGGCCCTTAAGGCTACTGGCTGGTCCATCTTGACTTTTGTGTAAGTACAGTAGCGAGACAGTGCTCCCCTGAAACACATTGCTAGTCCCCCACCAACTTCGCACCCCCAAACAGTTTGCTTCCACGTGTGAGTAGGTGGTTTAGGGGATAGAACGTGGGACCAGGTCAGATGACACTTGGACACTGTCCTGGCTTTGTCATTATCTTGTTGGATCTGACAGGTTAACCACGCTCTGATTTTCTGTCTTCCTCCCAGTTAGTAACTAAGGGAGATGAAATCCTGGTACCTGTCCTGTTAGCCTCACAGGACAGTCAGAGGAGTAAGGTGAGGAGATAGCTACTCTGTGAAAGTTTTTGTGCATTTGGAGGGTAACTGATTTTACATTCCCTTTGACATCTTGCAGTGGCATAAAATGCCTCTTTACACTCAATTTGGCTAAGTTTTCCTTATTCGAGTAATTTTCACTTATAAAGCGGTTACCACCTGTCAAATCTGAGTGAAGAAATTCTTGTTAGATGAAGTAATCTTTGTTTTGCCAAGCTCTTTAAATTCCTTGAAATTTAATATTCTAACCCAAAATACCTTTTCCCCTAGTCTTTAGCATTAGTGTCAGACTCAAAAAAGAGCATATATTACACAATTCCATTTACGTAAAGTTCAATAATAGGCAAAGAAGACTATAGCGCTATGAATCAGAATAGTTGTTACCCTTGGGGGTGGGGTGGAAAGGGCACCAGGGGCAGGTCTGAGATGCAGATAATGTCTTGATCCGGGGGTTAGTTACATGGGTATGTTTGATTTATTAAAAACAATCAAGCTGTACATTTATGATTTGTATACTTTTGATATTTCTACTGGTATTAGTATTTATCATCTTGATATAAGAAAAGGAATGCCCTGCCCTTGCCGGTGTGCCTCAGTGATTGGAGCGTCGGCTCGCACAGTGAAGGGTCGCGGGTTTGATTCCCAGTCAAGGGCATGTACCTGGGTTGTGGGTTCAATCCCTGGCCCTGGTCGGGGTGCGTGCAAGAGGAAACCAATTGATGTGTCTGTCTGTCTCACATCGATGTTTCTCTCTCTCCCTCTCCTTCCTCCTCTCTACCTCCGAGCCATTCTCTCTAAAACAATCAATGGGAAAAAATACCCTTGGGTAAGGATTAACAACAAAAAAAAGAAAAGAAGAAAAAAAAAAAAGGAAAGGGAATATCACAAAATAATTGTCCTTTGGGTTTAAGATGTTTTTACTGTCCCATTTTAACTCAGAGAGCATTTTGATTTCACGTATATGAATTTTATCAAGATTTCCTTCTCTCAATTTTAAGGACAAATGTTACTGTGTCCAGCTTTTGCCCTTAATAATTTTATTTTGTGTTGATTATTTCTGCCTACTTTAATTTTTCCTCTTTAGTTTTTGTAGTGATCCTCAGATAACAAAAATGTGATTCTCAGTTACAGTTTTTCGTTCACATTGATTTTTTTAATCACTTTTAACTGTTGGTTTATATTGTACTATTAATATTCATTATAGATAGGATAAAAACTGATAAGGTTTATTAGTAACTTCTTGGGGCAGAATGTTTTGGTAGTGTTAATACATGGGTCAGAACGCATTCCAGGGCAAGTGTCTCATTTATTAGCCTTTCAGGTCAGTGTGTCTTCACTTTTTCTCCACTTGCAGGCAGCATTACAGAAACAACAGGAGGTAGCAGTAGCGGGGGCTCCTTCGCCTACATCATCGAAAATTAATGCAGCTGTACCAAGCGATATGATGTCAGTTAATGGACAGGCCAAAACCCACACTGACAACTCTGAGAAAGAGCTTGAGCCAGAAGCTGCAGAAGAAGCCCTGGAGAATGGACCAAAAGGTATTACATCCACATGACTGAATCCAGACGCCATGAAAAGCAAAGTCGGGAGGTCATGTTCACTAGCACCTGGGAGCAAGTACATGTGTGCACGAGTTGCGTGCATTTTCACTCTGCTTAGTCTGAATCTGTGCTTCTGGTGATCCTTAGAAGAATAGTGTAGAAGGGCAAATCAGATCTATATATTGATTATCTGTTTCTGTGTGACAAATTGCCCCCAAATTCAGCAGCTTAAAATAATAATAAACATGTATCATCTCACACAGTTCCTGTGGGCATTTTGATTTCATGTACCTGAATTATAGATGGAGGACAGCTTAGCTGAGTGGTGGTGGACCTGGTCCCTCCTGAGGTTGCAGTTGAGGTGTTGGCCGGGACTGTCGTCCTATGAAGCTTGACTGGGACTAGAGGCTCTGCTTCCAAAAGGGCTCCCTCACCTGACGGGCAAGTTCAGGTTGGCCGTGGCCGAGGCCTCACTTCCTGCCTGGGGAAGCCTCTCCTGGAGCTGCCGAGTGTCCTCACCACAGCGGCAGCGCTGGCTTCCTCCAGAGCACGTGCCCTGAAGGTGCGCAGACTGCGCGGCAGTGTCTCTCGTCCCTGACCTTGGGGGTAACACACCCACATTTCTGTGCGTTCTCTTGGCCACAGGTACCACCTGATGGGCATTTCGGATGGTGACCTCACAGGGGCATGAACACCCCGAGGCAAGGGGACTGGCAGCCATCTAGCAGGCTGGCTCCCATATACTACAGCATATTTTTTGAGGCTGAAGTACCATGCTACCCAGATGATCATGTAGCATTTTTGAGGTCTACTGGCTTTTTATGAGCAACTTGTTCATTCATCCAGCAGTTGGTTGAAAATTTCCTGTGCGCTAGGAGTACAGGGGTGAGGCAGACTGCACACACAAGTGTAAATTGTGGCTCTGTTTAGCACTGATGGAGAGAGAGGTTTATTATCGTTGGAGCGCGTGTAACATGGCGGGGTGACCTAGTCAGAGAGGTCACCAGAGGCTCTGCTGGGGAAGGGACCATTGAGCTGAGAAATCAGAAGCAAGATAAGCGTCAGCTCAGTAAGAGGGGGAGAGGAGCACTCGTGACAGTGCTCAGGGATGGTGGGCTCAGAGATCTTCCTTGTCTTTTAGAACAAGTAACAGAAACCGGTGTCAGAAAAGACTTTGAAATGCCTTAGCTTACAGCCCCCTCTTTTTTCCCCTGTTAACAACATATCAGTATTTTGAAATGAATCTTGGTCGAAAGCTCTGTGATGAACTCTGGGAAACCCGTTGAGTAGTCAGTGCGTGTGGAGACTGCTCAGCAGCAAGACTTGCCTCCTCTTTACTGAGTCCCTGGCAGTTCCCCTTCTGCCTGAGTTTTTCTGTTTCTCTGAGTTCCTCGAGAATAACTTCTAGGAATTTGAGCTACTGAGAGATGAAGACCTTTTTCAAAGTCCATATCCAAAAGTGAATTTATTTCTAAGTCCGGATCCTTCTTTTTTAAGGCCAGATCTTTTCTTCTTTGTTATAGATAAGATAAAAACTGATAAAGGTCCAGCTAGGCAGTTCCCACGGTTATTTCTAAATCCCCACATGTAATTAGCGTGTCGGGGGAAAATCACGTATAAGATTTCGGATCACATGTCTTACTTGAAGTGGTGTGCTGACCTCTGGGCACCTGTGACATTGTTCAGGGAAGTAACTTGGGGAGACCTCCCTGGGGGCCTTTATGTGCCTCTGAGTCCTCCAACCGGTAGACCGTGTCGCCCTGAGTGCCTGCGTGTAGCTGGGTGCCTCAGGTGACGGCTCCTCCCCTGTAGCTGTTGTAATTTCTGTTGTCTTTAGATTCTCTTCCAGTAATAGCAGCTCCATCCATGTGGACGCGACCCCAGATCAAAGACTTTAAGGAGAAGATCCGGCAGGACGCGGATTCCGTGATCACGGTGGGCCGAGGAGAGGTGGTCACTGTTCGTGTACCCACCCACGAAGAAGGATCCTATCTCTTCTGGGAATTTGCCACAGACAGTTATGACATTGGGTTTGGGGTATATTTTGAATGGACAGACTCTCCGAACACTGCTGTCAGCGTGCATGTCAGTGAATCCAGCGATGACGAGGAGGAGGACGAAGGTAGAGCCATTGGTCCATATTCAGTAGCTGCTGGGTTGTGTCTTGGCAGAAGGGGCAGCGGTTCAGAGGTCAGCCAGCCTTACGCTTCCTGATGAACACTTCACAGGCAGGATCCCTCCCTACAGTGGTGGGGCTTTGGCTGGGAAGGTGGTGAGAGGCCAGCTCCTGTAGGGACTGGTGCCTGAACAAGGTCTGTTTGGCCATTGGTTTTCTGCTTCCTGAGTAGCATTTTACTTCCAGCCTTGTGTGTGTGAAAACTAAATGTGCAAGGTGATTTTGAAAAATTTCAAAGGCGCAAGCAAGACATTCTGCCAACTTGGGAATTTATTTAAATTTGTTTCTGGTGATAGCTTTTTAGGTCATTATTCTAAAGAATTTTAATGTAAGTACAGAAACTCACTAGAACATCCTACAAGACATACAAATTTTAAAAATCACTCACTCTTCCCTGTTTCACTAGAGGGTAATTTTTTATTTGCTCTAAGTGGACAAAATTGTTTCCAAGGACAGTCTAGGAAGTAGGTTATGAAATGTATTGCTTATTAATTGAGAAGATGGTCTCCTCGATATTGTCACATAGCAGGCTAGAACTCGGGGCTTTTGTGCACGGTGCCTAGTAAGCACTTCAGTGCTTGCTGCCGCGGTGGAGAGTGACCTGGAGGGAGCTGACGGTGAGAATGGAAAGCACCTTCTCATGGGTCCTGGGAGCCCGCTGTTCAGGCGCTGGTAGACTGGCCGCTCGTTCCTGGAGAGGCTGGGAGACTAGATGGGTCACTTTAAAGAGGCAGGCGGTCGGGGGAGTGTGTGGAGGGAGGCTCAGGGTCCGTGAGCTTCTGAGCAGCACAGTCATGTCACCACCCCGAGCCCCAGCCTGGCCGTGCGTGGAAACACACGGGGCAGTGTCCTTTCGGAGCTGCTGTGTCTCCCATGGCGATTTGTCTCCAGCCGTCTTCATTTCTGCGGGCCACCAGCAAGATGAAGCGTTGTCCACACAGACTCCTGACTGAGCCCGAAAGAAAAGATGCAAGAGGGAAAAGCAAAAAGAAGTGAGACAGAGCCGAGCAGAGCAGGTGCCAGGGCCACGGTCTCAGCAGCGTCAGGACCCAGCACTGAGCCTGTGCTGGCCTTTCTGGGTCATCACAGGGACTCGTTGCAATCAGACCGTTGGCAGACGTCTGCGAAGGAAAGTGTGTGTGCGTGTGCAGATAGTTCTACTTACAAAGAGCTTTGTGAGTAACATAGAAGAGTTCTCTGTTCAGGAGCAGGTACAGGAATGTATTTCTCCTGTATTGCCTGCTAAAGAGCTTCTAAAAGTAGGTCGCTTCCTAGTCTGAGCCTCAGCTAGAATAATTTGGGGTTATTGCTATTGGGAGGAGCACTGTAAGCATGGCTGGGACCTATCTAGAGGTGAGAACCCTGATACCCCAAATCTAACCTAGAATGTCCAAGTGGAAGATGGCATGACCTTCCTGGTGCTGTTTTGAACCTTAAAACAATTGGCAGCTAAAACTAACCCATGAAACCTCTGTATTAATGTGAAGTAGCCACAGTGAGCATTGATCGCCCCCAGGAAGTGCTTGCTGGGCATGCGTACAACTCCCTCTTGTTGGAAGAGGCAGCTCACAAGCTGCTTGGTCCCTATGCGTGTGCCTCCTTGTGGAGGCCACTGAGCCACCAAGGCTTGTCCACATTGTGTTTCCTGCGGATCCTCTCCGCTCAGGTAGATGGGAGTCCGGGTTTTTGTTTGTTGCCGTGGTTTTTTCTCCATTCGGTCTTGAAAGAGGAGTTTGTTTTCTCTGAAGTGTGGTGGGTGTAACCCATCTTCCTACTGTAAGTCTCCACTTTCTTGCTTCCAGGTCCCAAGTCTTTGCTTAAAGTGATGAAAGAAGCATTGTTCATCCATCCTAGTAACTAGTTTTACAGATTTTGAACAAAATTTGGGTCTTGAACTAATGGACCGATGATCTGTTTCATGGATATCCTTTTAGGCAACAGTGTACATTTGGAATGGCTTTGTATTTCTCCTTTGTAAATGAAGGACATTAATTTTTAAGTATTGCTGTGATCTGATTTGGGCCTGTTTATATCATCTTTTTTTTTTTTTAACAACTTTCTTTTTTAGATTATTTTTAGACTGATAGGAAACGTTGCAAAGATAGTACATGGAATTCCCATATTACACCCCCACCTCCCCACCCCTGCACCCAATTTCCCCTGTTGTTAATATTGTACATTGTACTGTGGTACATTCATCATAACTAATGAGCCAGTACTGATACATTATTATTAACTGAAGTACATCGTTTTTCACATTTCCTTAGTTTTTACCTAACGTCCAGGATCCCATCGAGGATGCCACATTGTATAGAGTTCATGATCATGTTGCCTTAAGCGCCTCTAGACTCTGAGTTTGTCAGACTTTTTTGTTAAAATTCCTGGTAGTAGCCATGGACAGTCACCACGCAGTTAACGCAGTCACCACATTCACTCTACCGTCTTATAAACCTGAAAGTCTTCTATCTTCTATGCTGAATATTCCCTTGACCTATTTTCCTTGAAGCTGTTTATATTTAATATGTTAAGCTGAGACTTTTGAACTGGCGTATAATTGACTCCCTCCTGTAGGTTTCTATATCTGTCTTCCTCTCCTCTAACCTTATGTCATTACACTGAAACTATTGACTGGGGCCAGCCTAGAACCAGAGCTCATATTTCTGTCACTGGGATCATCCCTAGATTACACAGGCCTAGTGAACATAATTGAATTGTCAGAGTGTCTCTGAGTGCCTACCTCTTACGGTTTTCTCATCTCATTCCATATATTTAAGATAATAGTGCTCCTAGGTGCCCTCCCTTCCTACAGCAGAGAGGACTTCCAAATTGGTGAGCAGGAGGAGGAGTCTGTGGCCTTACACAGATGAGGGAGAGCCTTCCAGTTGGGAATTGAATGGATTGGAAGGGGAAAGTGAGGCTCACAAATAGGAGCAGTGATTAGAGTACAGAGAGGGAGAGGATGCAGCCGCTCCACAGCCAGATGTTCACCACTGGGCTCCCAGGGCCCAGGCAGAGCTGGGCACATAGCAGTGACTCATATGTGTGAATGAATGAGTGAATGAATGAGTGAGCAAACCAACTAATCAATATACGCTCGAATGCACATAGGTCAGAATGGATCAAGTGAATTTTTTTAAATATATCTTTATTGATTTCAGAGAGGAAGGGAGAGAGAGATAGAAACATCAATAATGAGAGAGAATCATGGATTGGCTGCCTCCTGCACGCCCCTCACTGGGATCGAGCCCACAACCCAGGCATGTGCCCTTGGCCAGAATCAAACCTGGGACCCTTCAGTCCCCAGACCGCCGCTCTACTCACTGAGCCAAACTGGCTAGGGCAAGCGAATTTTTTTTTTTTTTAAGTGAATTCCTAGCAAGCAGTTTCTGAAAGAAAGGATGGAGTTTCAGTGCTTGATGGAAATGCATGATTTGTCTCTCTTCTTTCTCACAGAAAACATCCCTTCTGAAGAGAAAGCCAAAAAGAATGCCAACAAGCCCTTGCTGGACGAGATTGTGCCTGTGTACCGACGGGACTGTCACGAGGAGGTGTACGCCGGCAGCCACCAATACCCAGGGAGAGGAGTCTACCTCCTCAAGTTCGACAACTCCTACTCTTTGTGGAGGTCAAAGTCAGTCTACTACAGAGTCTATTATACGAGATAAAGATGTTACTGCAGAGCCTGGAGCCTAGGGCTGGGCAGAAGATGGCATTTAGTTGGGAAGTTTCTTTTGACTTTTGTGGAGCATTGCAGTGAGTGTTTGCCCTGTTGGTTGTGGTCTGATGGTTTGTGAACTCTTGTTGAGAATCGGGACTTCCTGGAGACTCTTTAGCATTAATCCTTGGGGTTAAAGGGGTTCCTCAGACCTAGCCTGCTGTTCGGTGCCGACCAGCAGCATCCCTAGAGGATGCGGAAGTTCCGTGAGCTGTTACATCTTTAAAGTCTCCAGAATAAACATCCCGCGGTGGAGCCCCGCTGGGTTAGTCCCCTGCTACCTGCCCGATGTGTTTATGGGAGCCCACAGTTACAGCGCCCTCTCGTGAAATCCTTACGTTAGTGTTCTTCCCGAGGCACACAACTGGGAAGATCACGATTTTTAAAACTTAAAAACTCGAGACCTCACAGATTATAGTGGGAAATAGTTGCTTCAATTTGATGTGGTTGTGAATGACCCAGATTGGTTTTTGCTTTGGGAACAGCTGCTTAGTTCAGAGTTACATTACAGGGAGTTACTTTCTGAGATGATCTTAAAATAGAATGTCCACACCCAATTGCTGATGCAAGTGTCAGCACACGCAGACCACCTCGACACCCTCGCCTCCACGGCTCACGGGCCTCTTCATTTGGTGTGTATACTGCCTGTAGCAGCCCAAAAGCCACTCATATTTGTCTTGATTTGGCTTTGTGTAAGAGCATCTCCAATTGAAACTGTTTTCTACACAAGCATATAGTTACATATAAACAGTTTTGTAAACTCAAATTGCCACCCACTGAATTAAAAATAGAGAAAATCATTTAAATATAATTCAGTGTATGAAGAAGAACATTGCACTATGTGGAGATCACTGCCAGAGACGGCCCATTTTTAATTGGTTGCTCCTTAGGCACAAACCCTCCAGGACTTCTGTTTGGAATTACTAGAGAATCGGACGTGCATATGCCCACGCTGAAATTTTTTATGGCTTTAGTCTGTATTATGTTTTTATTGATGGGAAGAGGTACACCTTCGTTTTCTTCACTGGAAACAAATATGGGTTAATTAATTGCCTCCGATATATATACGTGATTGACTAGTCTAGAGATTCTTGTTTTCAGAGGGAGGGTAGTACAGATAGAAAATGACAACGATGGCAATATACACACGTAATGTTACTCTATGTTGTTACTGAAATACTTCCATTTTTTACATGTCAGATCCTAAGTCACTCTGTAGGAGGGCTCCCCTGCAGTGGGTACAGTTCACTACATAAGGAAGGGGCTGTTGGTTTTGTGTGCTGCGTTCTTTCTGTTTTTTTAATACCTGGTTTTGTACATACCTAACTGTTCTCTTCTGTTGTTTGGAAACTGGATTATTTTTCCTAAGAAGTGCTTAACCTGTGTTTTTTCATTTTGATTAGTTTCAGCTCATAGACGTTCACACTGTTACATTAGAGCACTTGTCAGCTGTCCGTCAGCTCTCATGTACATACGGTCTAGAAACCACGGGGTTAGGCACTTCCGGGCTGTTTTGTTGTGTTTTGTTTTGTTTTTTTAATGAGAAAATACTGTATTTAAAATGTAAAATAAACTTTGAAAAAGCAGGCACTAATATATATTTCTTCCAGCCTTTGATTACAGACTTGTCCTTGCACATGTTAAGATGAATTATCTTCTAAAGTATCATTGTTCTTGGGAGCAGTGTGTGTGTGACTTCACATAGCAGCGGTTCCTGTCACGTGTCCACGTCAGAACATTGTGGGTTTAAACTTTTATATTGCCTTTGGCTGTTGATTAGTACAGTTCAAATGCGATTTCAAAGAGATCTTGGAAAATATATATTTAATCAATTAAAATGTTTATCTGTAACTTGTTGATGTTTCATTGATAAGTTCCTCTCTGAAGCGTTAGTTCTGCATCTCATCACTTGGGTAGGACAAGAAGGAATGTTTTAAATGATCTTTTCTCTTTTAAATCAGAAAACGAGCAAACCATTTCTGGCTGATTATTTAAGTTTTGCTGTGAATTAACCTCATGAGTTAAACAGATTAAAAATTTTCAGACTTGCTGGTGAATGGAAAGCACTGGCTTCTATAAGATGATTTCCCCTCCCTAACCAGTTTGGCTCAGTGGATAGAGGATCGGCCCGCGGACTAAAAGGTCCCAGGTTCAATTCCGGTCAAGGGCATGTACCTTGGTTGCAGGCACATCCCCAGTAGGGAGGTATGCAGGAGGCAGCTGATCGATGTTTCTCTCCCATCGATATTTCTAACTCTCTATCCCTCTCCCTTCCTCTCTGTAAAAAATCAATAAAATATTGTATATATATATAAAAAAAAAAGATGATTTCCCCTGCCTGCTTGTGGGTGGCATGTCCTGCTGTCCATGGAGGCGGCCGCTTTAGAACAGCCCCTGAGCGTGGCGCTGAGGAGCGTGCCCAGGCAGGGTGGTGTGCAGTGCCCACCCCGCTGATGACCCCGCTGGCGTGCAGGGGCTCAGACATGGATTTTTCTTTTTCTTCTGAGATTTGGAGACAGAATGAGATCATCTTGGCTTTGGCTCTGCTGGGGACCCTGCCGCCAGACCAGAGAACAGTGCAGGAAGCAGTGTGTGGGAGCGCATCTTGGAAGTTGTGCTGCCGACGCTGAGCCATCCGCCAGGGCCGAGGAAGAAGCAGCCGGTTCAGAACCATAGGTGATCGCTAATGATTTCTTGGGGCTTAGCGTGCAACCGTCTGCAACCAAAGCCAGCTTTGCGGCTGTCCCCAGCTTTTGCTCAGTTCAACACTCCTGGCAGGCCCTGGCTGGTTTGGCTCAGTGGATGGAGCGTCGGCCTGGGGACGGAGGGGTCCCAGGTTCGATTCCGGTCAAGGGCACGTGCCTGGGTTGTGGGCTCAGTCCCCAGTGGGGGGCATGCCAAGAGGTGGCCAATCTGTGATTCTCATCATTGATGTTTCTGTCTGTCTCTCTCCCTCTCCCTTCCTCTCTGAAATCAATAAAGATATATTTAAAAAACAAAACAAATTCATTCCTGTCAGCAACCTAAGAAGGTGCGCGTACGTGTGTACTTGGGGTGGAGGCCATCTTCATGTCCATGTACCGACTTCAGGATGTGAATGAGATCAGTATTGGACTTCTCTCTCGCATAGACTTCCCAGGAGTCCTCATCTTTCCTAGTGAAAGCTTTTAAAAGACCCAGTTGCTTGCTGTCCTTCTTAACAGCTTATTTTGACTGCATTGTTGTTACTGTTTCAGGTGCTTATTGGCTTGGTCTGTTGTCATGAAAGAGGAAAGCATCCGCTCCATTTTTATTAGTTGACGTACCACTTGAAAGTTGTTCCGTGATTCGGGCACTTCATTCAGTGCCAGGAAACGAAGTGGCTCACTTTCCCGGGTTGACATTGGCATTTGGACTCGGGCTGTCCAGCCTGGGGGGCGAAGGTATAAATTGGAGCAGTTAACTCATCCCAGAGCCATAACCAAAGCTTCTGTGTGACTGCCAGGTTGAATGGCGGCTGCCAGTCTGGTTAGGAAAAGAGCAAGTACAAGTTCAGTTACGAATGCTGATTTCTAAAGACCTCTCTCAAATGGCATGTCTATACAATTACAACTATTTCTACTCTTCGCCAAGATTAAATATCTCCATACAACTCGGGGGAGGGGTGCATGGCAAGACACCGAAATGTAAACAGGATTCAGAAGGCCTACATTTTGCAACTTTTAAAATTCCAGGTTGTGTTGGAGAATTTTTCCTGTAAGTATAGTCTGCTGTGTTCTTCACATCTGCTGTCATCTGTAGAGCAGCTCTCCAGGCATTTTTCTGTTAAGGAACATTTTAGGTTGCTTCTGGGTTGGTTGGTTGTGGGTTTTTTGTTCTTTGTTTTTTAATGATTTTATTGATTTCAGAGAGAGGGAAGGAAAGATAGGAACATCCATGAGAAAGAAACATGGATCGCCTGCCTCCTGCATGCCTCCTGGGATTCGAGCCCACAACCCCGGCAGGTGCCCTGACCGGGAACCCAGGAATGGAACCGGTGACCTCCTGGTGCCTGGGACAACATGCCACCAGCTGAGCCCCACTGGTGACCACTTCCGGTTTTTTATTGTAAGTGGTGTCCCAGTGAACACCCTTTACATGTCTTTCTGCAAATCTGCATGAGCCTTGGAAGGTATATATATATAAAAAAAAAAGATGATTTCCCCTGCCTGCTTGTGGGTGGCATGTCCTGCTGTCCATGGAGGCGGCCGCTTTAGAACAGCCCCTGAGCGTGGCGCTGAGGAGCGTGCCCAGGCAGGGTGGTGTGCAGTGCCCACCCCGCTGATGACCCCGCTGGCGTGCAGGGGCTCAGACATGGATTTTTCTTTTTCTTCTGAGATTTGGAGACAGAATGAGATCATCTTGGCTTTGGCTCTGCTGGGGACCCTGCCGCCAGACCAGAGAACAGTGCAGGAAGCAGTGTGTGGGAGCGCATCTTGGAAGTTGTGCTGCCGACGCTGAGCCATCCGCCAGGGCCGAGGAAGAAGCAGCCGGTTCAGAACCATAGGTGATCGCTAATGATTTCTTGGGGCTTAGCGTGCAACCGTCTGCAACCAAAGCCAGCTTTGCGGCTGTCCCCAGCTTTTGCTCAGTTCAACACTCCTGGCAGGCCCTGGCTGGTTTGGCTCAGTGGATGGAGCGTCGGCCTGGGGACGGAGGGGTCCCAGGTTCGATTCCGGTCAAGGGCACGTGCCTGGGTTGTGGGCTCAGTCCCCAGTGGGGGGCATGCCAAGAGGTGGCCAATCTGTGATTCTCATCATTGATGTTTCTGTCTGTCTCTCTCCCTCTCCCTTCCTCTCTGAAATCAATAAAGATATATTTAAAAAACAAAACAAATTCATTCCTGTCAGCAACCTAAGAAGGTGCGCGTACGTGTGTACTTGGGGTGGAGGCCATCTTCATGTCCATGTACCGACTTCAGGATGTGAATGAGATCAGTATTGGACTTCTCTCTCGCATAGACTTCCCAGGAGTCCTCATCTTTCCTAGTGAAAGCTTTTAAAAGACCCAGTTGCTTGCTGTCCTTTTTAACAGCTTATTTTGACTGCATTGTTGTTACTGTTTCAGGTGCTTATTGGCTTGGTCTGTTGTCATGAAAGAGGAAAGCATCTGCTCCATTTTTATTAGTTGACGTGCCACTTGTAAGTTGTGATGTGATTCGGGCACTTCATTCAGTGCCAGGAACTAAGTGGATCACTTTCCCGGGTTGACATTGGCATTTGGACTCGGGCTGTCCAGCCTGGGGGGCGAAGGTATAAATCGGAGCAGTTAACTCATCCCAGAGCCATAACCAAAGCTTCTGTGTGACTGCCAGGTTCAGCCCTCCGGTGAATGGCGGCTGCCAGTCTGGTTAGGAAAAGAGCAAGTACAAGTTCAGTTACGAATGCTGATTTCTAAAGACCTCTCTCAAATGGCATGTCTATACAATTACAACTATTTCTACTCTTCGCCAAGATTAAATATCTCCATACAACTCGGGGGAGGGGTGCATGGCAAGACACCGAAATGTAAACAGGATTCAGAAGGCCTACATTTTGCAACTTTTAAAATTCCAGGTTGTGTTGGAGAATTTTTCCTGTAAGTATAGTCTGCTGTGTTCTTCACATCTGCTGTCATCTGTAGAGCAGCTCTCCAGGCATTTTTCTGTTAAGGAACATTTTAGGTTGCTTCTGGGTTGGTTGGTTGTGGGTTTTTTGTTCTTTGTTTTTTAATGATTTTATTGATTTCAGAGAGAGGGAAGGAAAGATAGGAACATCCATGAGAAAGAAACATGGATCGCCTGCCTCCTGCATGCCTCCTGGGATTCGAGCCCACAACCCCGGCAGGTGCCCTGACCGGGAACCCAGGAATGGAACCGGTGACCTCCTGGTGCCTGGGACAACATGCCACCAGCTGAGCCCCACTGGTGACCACTTCCGGTTTTTTATTGTAAGTGGTGTCCCAGTGAACACCCTTTACATGTCTTTCTGCAAATCTGCATGAGCCTTGGAAGAGCAGGTACCAAGAGTGGAATTGCTGGGTCCTAAGTTCTGTGCATGAGTTCTCATCAACCCTGCCTCGTGGCCTTCGGAGTGGCGGAGCTGACTTCCCCTCCCACTGGCAGTCCGGCCCTGTCAGCAGCTGATATTATCTAACTTAAACCGGTCAATCTGCTGGGTGAAAAGTGAAGTAGTTGGGGTTTTTTTTAATGTGTGTTTCCCTGATAAGTGATAAGATTAAGCATCTATTTGTATTGGTCATTTGTAGTTCCTCCTATAAATTGCCTGTTTGTGTCCTCAACCCATTTTTCAACTGGGTACTCTTTTATATTGATTTATGAACATTTAAAACAGTTTGTATACTAGTCTTACATTACATGTAAGTATTTTCTCCTACTTTATTGCTAGTCTGTTAATTTTGTTTATGGTGGTGTGTGTGTGAGAGAGAGAGAAAGAGAGATACTGTTTGGTCATAGAGGTTATAAACTATGTTATCAGTTTTATTCCATTTTTTCTTTATGGCTATTGCTTAATTCCACATATATATATGAGACTGTTTCTGAATTCTGTTCCATTTACCTGTTAATTTTACATTTTAAATTATAGTTTTAAAATATACTTTGGGCCCTAACCGGTTTGGCTCAGTGGATAGAGCGTCGGCCTGCGGACTGAAGGGTCCCAGGTTCGATTCCGGTCAAGGGCATGTACCTGGGTTGCGGGCACATCCCC